CTGAGAGAGTGTGGAACGAAGGAGAGACCATGGAGCTGAGGAGAGAGAATCAAGATGAGGACAGAGTGTGGAGCTGAGGAGAGGACCCGGAGGTGAGGACAGAGGGTGGGTATAAGGATTGAGTGTATAGCTGAGGACTGAGCCGGACTTGAGGACAGAGTTAGGACCTGAGGAAAGAATGTGGATCTGAGATTAGAGTGTGTAGTTGAGGACAGAGGGTGGAGCTGAGAAGAAAGCAAGGCGCTGAGGAGATAGCAAGGAGCTGAGGACACAAGGACACAGGAAGGAGGTGAGGAGAGAGAGTGTAGCTAAGTAGAGAGCGAGGAGCTGAGAAGAGAGCGTGGAGGTGAGGACAGAGTGTGGAGCTGATGAATGAGTGAGTGTGAGCTGCAGAGAGAGCGCTGGGGTGAGGACAGAGTGAGGAGCTGAGGAAAGAGTGTGGAGTGGAGGACAGGGTGTGGAGGTGAGGACAGAGGGTGAAGCTGACGACTGAGTGTGGAGCTGAGGAGAGAGCGATGAGCTGAGGAGAGAGTGAGGAGCTGAGGAGAGAGCGATGAGCTGAGGAGAGAGCGAGGAGCTGAGGAGGGAGCGATGAGCTGAGGAAGAGCATTGAGGTGAGGACAGAGTGAGGAGCTGAGGACAGAGTGTGGAGCTGAGGAGAGAGCAAGGAATTGAGGAGAGAGCAGGGAGCTGAAAAGAGGCAAGGATGTAGGACAGAGAGTGGAGCTGAGGAGAGAGTGTGGAGCTGAGGAGAAAGCAAGGCACTGAGAAGAGAGCTAAGAGCTGAGGAGAGAAGAAGGAGGTGAGAACCGAGTGTGGAGCCGAGGAGAGAGCACGGAGCTGAGGAGAGACTGTTGAGGTGAAGACAGAGTGATGAGTTGAGAACCTAGTGTGGAGCTGAGGATAAAGTGAGCTTCTGAGGAGAGACTGTGGAGGTGAGGAGAGAAAGTGGAGCTGAGGACAGAGTGTGGAGCTGAGGAGAAAGCTCAGAGGTAAGGAGAGAGCCCAGAGGTGAGGACAGAGTGTGGATGAGAATCCAGTGTGGAGCTGAGGACGGAGGTAGTCTTGAGGGCAGAATTAGAAGCTGAGGAAAGAATGTGGATCTGAGGACAGGACGTGGAGCTGAGGTGGGAGTAGGAAGCTGAGGACAGAGTGAGGAGCTGAGGAGAGAGGGATGATCTGAGGAGAGTGCATTGAGGTGAGTGTAGACTATAGAGTCGGAGTTGAGGATGGAGTGTGGAGCTGAGGAAAGAACCTGGAGGTGAGACAGAGTGAGGAGCTGAGGACACAGTGTGGAGCTCAGGAAAGAGTATGGCACTGAGGAGAGAGAGTGGAGGTGAGGAGGGAAAGTTGAGCTGAAGACAGAGGCAGGGCTGAGGAGAGCCCAGAGGTGAGGACAGAGTGTGGATATGAGGGTTGAGTGTGGAGCTGAGGACTGAGGTGGTATTGGTGACAGGGTTAGAAGCTGAGGAAACAATGTGGATCTGAGGAAAGAGCGAGGAGCTGAGGTGGGAACAAGTTGCTGAGAAGAGAGCAAGGGGCTGAGGGGAAAGCAAGGAGCTGAGGAGAGAGCGAGGAGCTGAGGACAGAGTGTGGGGGTGAGGGGTGAGCAGAGCATGGGGTTGAGTACAAAGTGTGGAGCTGAAGAGAGAGAGTGGAGGTGAGGACAGAGTGTGGAGCTGTGAACCCAGTGAGGAGTTGGTGAGAGGGTGTGGAGTGACCTGGCGCAGCCGCTCTGGACAACGGAGTGGAGGCTCCTCAAAGAGTTAAGAATAGACCTGCCCTACGACCCGGCAATTGCCCTGCTGGGGATTCACCCCAAAGATTCAGATGCAATGAAACACCGGGACACCTGCACCCCGATGTGTCTAGCAGCCATGTCCACAGTAGCCAAACTGTGGAAGGAGCCTCGGTGCCCATCGACAGATGATGGATAAAGAAGATGTGGTTATGTATACAATGGGATATTACTCAGCCATTAGAAACGACAAATCCCCACCATTTGCTTCAACGTGGATGGAACTGGAGGGTATTATGCTGAGTGAAATGAGTCAATCGGAGAAGGACAGTGTATGTTCTCATTCATTTGGGGAATATAAAAAATAGCGAAAGGGAATAAAGGGGAAAGGAGAGAAAATGAGTGGGAAATATCAGGAAGGGAGACAGAACATAAAGACTCCTAACTCTGGGAAACGAACTAGGGGTGGTGGAAGGGGGAGGAGGGCGGGGGGTGGGGGTGAATGGGTGATGGGCACTGAGGGGGCACTTGACGGGATGAGCACTGGGGGTTATTCTGTATGTTGGCAAATTGAACAGCAATAAAAAATAAATTTATAAAAAAAGGAGTGTGGAGTGGAGGAGACACTGCGGATCTGAGGAGAGAGAGTGGAGCTGAGGAGACTGAATGTGGAGCTGAGGAGAGAGCATGGAGCTGAGGACAGAGTGTGGATGTGAGGAGAGTGACGTGTCGAGGAGATGGCAAGGATGTAAGGACATAGTGAGGGACTGAGGACAGAGTGTGGAGCTGAGGACTGAGCATTAAGTTGAGGACAGAGGGTGGAGATGAAGAAAGGATGTGGAGCTGAGGAGAGAGCGTGGAGCTGAGGAGAGAGCGTGGAGCTGAGGAGAGAGCGTGGAGCTGAGGAGAAAGCGTGGAGCTGAGGAGACAGTGTGGAGCTGAGGAGAGAGCGTGGAGCTGAGGAGACAGTGTGGAGCTGAGGAGAGAGCGTGGAGCTGAGGAGACAGTGTGGAGCTGAGGAGAGAGCGTGGAGCTGAGGAGACAGTGTGGAGCTGAGGAGAGAGCGTGGAGCTGAGGACAGAGTGTGGATGTGAGGAGAGTGACGTGTCGAGGAGATGGCAAGGATGTAAGGACATAGTGAGGGACTGAGGACAGAGTGTGGAGCTGAGGACTGAGCATTAAGTTGAGGACAGAGGGTGGAGATGAAGAAAGGATGTGGAGCTGAGGAGAGAGCGTGGAGCTGAGGAGAGAGCATGGAGCTGAGGAGAGAGCGTGGAGCTGAGGAGACAGTGTGGAGCTGAGGAGAGAGCGTGGAGCTGAGGAGAGAGCGTGGAGCTGAGGAGAGAGCGTGGAGCTGAGGAGAGAGCGTGGAGCTGAGGAGAGAGCGTGGAGCTGAGGAGAGAGCGTGGAGCTGAGGAGAGAGCGTGGAGCTGAGGAGAGAGTGAGGAGCTGAGGATGGAGGGTGGAAGTAAGGACAGTGTGTAGCCGAGGAGAGAGGGATGATGATCTGAGGAGAGAGCACCGAGATGAGCACAGAGTGAGGGGTTGAGCACCGAGCGTGGAGCTGAGGAGAGAGCTCGGAGGTGAGGACAGAGTGAGGAGCTCGGGACAGACTGTGGAGCTGAGGAAAGGGTGTGGAGCTGGGGATAGAGCATTGAGCTGAGGAGGGAACGTGGAGCTGAGAGACACCTCCGGCTCCTGCTCGTCTAAAGGGGAAGCCCTCCTGGACTGTCCCTTCTTCCCACCATCTCTCCGTCCTTGACGGGAATGTGCACTCCGCGCAGTCCCATCGCCACTGTTTGCACGTGGTCAATCTGTGTGCTGTCCCCCTGCTGCAGGCTCACCAGTGTCTCCCCTGGCCCTGACTCAGGTGATAAACGAGACGCTGACCTCACGGTTGATGCTGAGCAGGGTGACCTCTGGAGTTGTTCCCGAAGAGCTGTGCACAGGACAGGGACATGAAGTCGGGGCCACGGGGTGGGCGGCTGGAATCGCGTGTGCCAGGTTATACCTTGACATCCTGTCACCCTTGTGCCCCGATGGGGAGCTCGTGGGGGGCTGGATCCCTGGGGACGTACTTGTCCCACTGGATTGGGCCAAGGCCCTAATCCCGCGCCAGGAGCATCCTCACACAGGGCACATGCACACAGCGGCGGCGCCTGGGGAGCGACATGGCAGGGAGAGGTGCCTCGTGTCCAAGCCAAGGCAGCCCTGGAAGCCAAGACGCAGCCTGGAGCCGACTCCCGCCCCCGGCGTCCATGGCTCCTGCCGCTCCCGCAGGTGCTGTCCTGAGCCGACGGCCGCCCCCAGCACCAGAGCCCCCAGGCCCACGTGCCCCTCGTCGGGCCGAGGTGCAGTCCATTTAACCAAAGCAAAGCCAGAGCCGGAAGTGTCCACCTGGAGCCCAGGCTGGGGGACAGATGTCCCGGGACCACGCCCCTCTCCTGCCTCCACGGCAGCCACCCCTCTGGGGCTGGCCCTGCGAGCCCTCGGCTGCTCCCCACACCTCCTGCAGCCTGGCTCAGCCGTCCTCGCCAGGTGCCACCCCACATCCCTCGTGGAGGTCTGCGCCTTCCCTCTCAGCCCCCTGCCCCATGCGCCTGCACCCAGACGCCTGCTGCCATCTCCATGGCCCGCGGTCCACACTGGCTGCTCGCACTGTGGCCGGACAAGCCCCCCCCCCCCGCGCGGCTCCGACTCAGCCGTGGCCCCGGGCCCGGCACCGCCTGCCCTGCTCTGCAGTGATGTGGACACGCGCAGCCTTTGCCCTCTGCCTCTCCCCGGCTGCTCGCCAGAAACTCCTGCCTTCCCCACACCAGCCACTGTGCGGCCCAGCTGTGGGGTGAGCTCCCGTGCTCCTGCCAGCCCCCCGACGCCACAGCGGGTGGGACAGGCCCTTAGGGTGGCCAGGCTTGCTGGGCACAGAGATCGGGCAGTGCACCGTGCGGGGACCCCGAGGCGGAGGCCCCCGCTGGCCGCACACGAAACCCCGAGGCCCACGCCCGGTTCCTGGCACCCGCCGTGTCCAGGAGGTCAGGCTTGGGACTCTCTGGAGCAGGCTGGACGTGCGCGACTCCCGGGGTGCCGCCGGGGTCCCCTTTCCTGGCATGTCCCCTGGCAGGCCTGCATGCAGACAGACCCCCCTTCTCACGTGCCCTTCCCTGCGAGGGCTGCCCGTTGAGACGCACATGCAGCACCCAGGGAGTGCCGTTCGGGACAAAAACACCAGCACAAGGCAGCAGTTTCCCAAAATGTACACGTTTATTTCAAGGCGACACGCGTATACATTGCAAAGCAACGCTCGCAGCGGAGCCGCGGCTGCAGGCTCCCACGCGTCCCGGCATTGGCCAAGTCTCGAGAAGCCTTGTCTTCGAGCTGGAAGCGGGAGGGGCGACGTGGGAAAGATTTAGGCACAAGTTGACGGGCCCCACAGGCTGGGGACCCCAGACCCCTAGGCGGTGGTCCCTGGGCTCCATCTCCCGGGGCTCTGACGCTCCTAGCTGGCTGGTCATTTCACCTGCAGATGACAGACAGTGTGAGTTGTTTCCCCGTGGTGCAGGGGCAGGGGAGGCAGGCCTGTGGCTGTGTGCACCCTCCTCCCGCTGCCACCCTGCCGCTACCTTGAACAGAGTGACTGTGGTGCTGTAGAAGACACTGAGGAGGAAGAGGACGATGAAGGTGGATGCCATGGTATTCAGGTTCTCAAAGCCTTCCTCCTCGGCACTCACCTCCCCCCCTGCAGGGGACACAGCACACAGGGGTCAGGCCATGGCCGGCAGGGCCCAGCCCCAGAGCCGCCCCAGGCCCCGGCTGTGCTGCCCCCAGGAGGGCCGGTGAGGGCGCATGGCTTCCCAGCCCCCCCGACGCCTCAGCACCCACCCTGTGGGGCCGAGGGCTCCTGGGTTCTGTGGAGAAGGGTCTGAGTCAGGCGTTAGCGAGGCCTTGGCCACTTGATGCAGGGCTCAGGCCAAGGAAGAACGTGGCCAAAGCAGAGCGGGGTGGTGACCCTGCGCACCTACCCCGTTAGCCCTGAGGAGGCAGAGAGCTCGGCAGAGCAACACAGACACAGCGGTATGGCTTGGGCTTGGGCGAGACGTGGGGCCCGGGACGGGTGGCTCAGTGTCCTGGCGGGGGGGGGGGGCGCTGGTGGCTCAGCCAGGACCACCTGGGACTCAGGCAGGGAGCAGGCCCCTCCACCAATGGTGGCTTGGGGTGCGTGTGCCCCTGGCTGCGGAAGCCGCTGAGGCCCGGCTTCCCAGGGAGATCCCCGCTGGCTCGCCCTCCCTGCTCTGAGTGGGTGGCACATGTGAGAGGCCAGGTGGGGCCCTGGCTGGCTGTCCACCCCACCAGTGCTCGGGTACCCAGGGGCCAGACAGAACCCTGAAGCTCCAGGAGGGTGACATTGGGGTGCACAGGCTGAGGGCACTCAGGGGGCTCCAGCCTCAGCCCAAGTGGGCCCTTGAGGGCATCTGGAGCTCAGGCGCCCAAGGGCCTGGTGTGCAGACAGGGTCTCAGAGGCAGCCCAAAGGAGGCTCTGCTGCCTGTGGCTGCTGGCAGAGGAGATGCCACTGCGGCCCCCACCCTTCTCTGCCCGGAGGGCTCTGTGCTCCCTCAGTCCTGCCCCCGGGAGCCTTGCTTCCCACCATTTCCAGGGCCTGGTGTTCACAGGGGCCCCCCACTCAGATCAGACTCTCTGCAGCCTCCCCCTGCCTGCTTTGTCAGGACAGGCCCAGCCCCGTTCATCCCCGGGTGCTGGGGTTCTGCTTCCTTCGAGCGCCTGGGCGTGGGCAGGGGCTTCCCTTGGACCCAGGCCTGGGAATGGCAGCCATGGTCAGAGACAGAAGGACAAGCAGAGCTGGGCCACGAAGGCCTGCAGGAAGTGATGCGGCTGGAGAGGGCGGGAGGCCCTGGGTTAGAGGGTGTGCAAGGGCTGGCATCCATGTGTGTGCACATGTGTCAGCGTGGCTGTATACATGTGTGAATAAGTGTGCATGTGTCATGTGCGTGCACAGGTATCTGTGTCCATGTGTACCTGTGTCCACACCCACGTGTGTGTGTCTGTGTCCGTGTGTCTGCCTGTGTGTCTGTGTGTGTGCACCTGTGTCCACACTCACACGTGTGCATGTGTCCACGTGTCTGCCTGTATGTCTGTGCGTGTGTATGTGGCGCTGCACCTGCGTCCACACTCACGTGTGCGCATCTGTGTCTGAGTGTCTGCCTATATGTCTGTGTGTATGTGGAGCTGCATCTGCGTCCACACTCATGTGTGCACATGGCTGTGTCCGTGTGTCTGCCTGTATATCTGTGCATGTGTATGTGGAGCTGCATCTGCGTCCACACTCACGTGTGCACATGGCTGTGTCCGTGTGTCTGCCTGTATATCTGTGCATGTGTATGTGGAGGTGCATCTGTGTCCACACCCACGTGTGTGCATCTGTGTCTGAGTGTCTGCCTGTATGCCTGTGTGTAGGCAGGCACATCTGTGTCCACACCCATGTGTGCAAATGCCTGAGTCCACATGTCTGCCTGTATGTCTGTGCATGTATGTGGAGGTGCGCTTGTGTCCACACTCACGTGTGTGTGTGCCTATGTCTGTGTGTCTGCCTGTATGTCTATCTGTGTGTAGGCAGGCACATCTGTGTCCACACCCACGTGTGCACATGCCTGTGTCTGCATGTCTGCGTGTGTGTGTGTGTGGAGGTGCATCTGTGTCCACACCCATGTATGTGCATGCCTGTGTCTGCGTGTCTGCCTGTATGTCTGTGCGTGTGTATGTGGGGACATCTGTGTCCACACCCACATGTGCACATGCCTGTGTCTGCATGTCTGTGTGTGTGTGTGTGTGTGTGTGTGTGGAGGTGCATCTGTGTCCACACCCATGTATGTGCATTCCTGTGTCTGCGTGTCTGCCTGTATGTCTGTGCATGTGTATGTGGGGACATCTGTGTCCACACCCACATGTGCACATGCCTGTGTCTGCATGTCTGCGTGTGTGTGTGTGTGGAGGTGCATCTGTGTCCACACCCATGTATGTGCATGCCTGTGTCTGCGTGTCTGCCTGTATGTCTGTGCGTGTGTATGTGGGGACATCTGTGTCCACACCCACATGTGCACATGCCTGTGTCTGCATGTCTGCGTGTGTGTGTGTGTGGAGGTGCATCTGTGTCCACACCCATGTATGTGCATGCCTGTGTCTGCGTGTCTGCCTGTATGTCTGTGCGTGTGTATGTGGGGACATCTGTGTCCACACCCACATGTGCACATGCCTGTGTCTGCATGTCTGTGTGTGTGTGTGTGTGTGTGTGGAGGTGCATCTGTGTCCACACCCATGTGTGTGCATGCCTGGGTATGTGTGCCCATGTGCACTGTATACATGTCTGTGTCCATATGCATGCATGTTGCTGTGTGTCCACGTGTCTGCGTCTGTGTGCATGTGTGCATGTATGTGGCTGTGGGAGCAGCTAGAGGAGCGATGAGCGTGGGCTTGGTCTGCGAGGAGCACAGTGACCTCCGGAGGCTGGGTGGGGGCAGGGATGGTGGTGGAGGGTGGTCTGGGGATGGCGGCAGCACAGCCAGGGCCCTTGCAGGCAAGAGCATCGCTTACTCAGGACGAGCATCTTTTGAATGGATGTTTTTATTTCTAATTTTGATAAAATGCCATATCTCAGCCCATTGACATGGTTAGTTTGCACATGTGCACACACAGCGACGGGTCACCCGCCTGGAGTGGGCGGCCCAGCGGTCAGTAGCAGGTGCTGGCTGTGTCAGATAAGACCAGGGACACGTTGTACAGGGTGGGTTTACCGGTGGACTTGTCCACGCTCCTCTCGGTCACCACATGGGGCAGGGCCTCATGGCCTACAACACAGGTGTAGGTCTCCCCGGCATTCCAGTCCTCCTCACTCACGGTCAGGATGCTGTGGACAAAGTAGAGGCCGGGGGCTTGGGGCTCGGGCATCGGGGCGCTGGTCACGTAGCTGTCAGGGGGCACGGGCTGGCCCTTCTGCAGCCACTGCACGAACACATCCGGGGGTGAGAAGCCTTTCACCAGGCAGGTGAGTGAGGCCGATTCCCGCAGGCTCAGCTGCTCCCGGCTCGGGGGCAGGACGTAGACAGAAGGCATGTGCTTGTTGACATCTGTGGGAGGAAAGACAGTGGTGAGCTCAGGTGAGGGGCCGGTGGGGAGAGGCGCCCAGGGGCTGTGGGAGAGCCCCAGGGCAGAGGAGCAGTGGGCCCCTACCCTTGGGCCTGGAGATGGTCTTCTTCAGCGGTGAGGGCAGATCTGTGTGGGTCACCGTGCAGGTGAACTGCTCGCCTGACTCCCATTCCTCCACGCAGACAGTGGCCTCCCCCATGGCACTGAAGGTGTTGTTGGGGTGGCTCTCAGAGATGTTGGTGTGGGTTTTCAGAGCCTCGCCATTCTGACGGGTCCAGGAGATGGTCAGGCTGTCATAAGTGGCCAGGTCAGTGACCAGGCAGGACAGCTTGGCCGACTTGGTGTTGAAGATGCTGGCAAAGGAGGGGGGGATGGTGAAGATGCTGATGCCAACGGCTGTATCTAGATCAGGAGAGAGTTTGCGTCAGTGGCTGGACATGAAATCAGGCAAAGTGGAGATTTTACCCAAAGAATGGAGGCCCAGTCCATGGGCCTTCCTCAGCTGCAAGGACCCGCTGGAGGGGAATGCTAGGCCCCCACCACCCCGCCCTTGGCCGCTGCAGGAAGCCAAGGCTCGGGGAGCAGCTGGCCCGAGTGGACCCCTGTGTAGGTGAGGGACTCCAAGCCCAAGGGGCTGCAGTAGTGGCGGGGTCACTCACTGGGGGTGCACATGGAGGACACGTTCTTCTGGAAGACGATCCCGTTGTGCTCCACGTGGCAGGTGAACACGCTCTGGCTGAGCCAGGCACTCTCGGTGATGGTCAGCATGCTGAGGATGCTGTAGGTCACAGGTCCGTGCTCCTTCTCCTCGGCCTCTGCCTTCCCTGTGTTGAAGCCAGACTCGATCTGCTTTCCATCACGGAACCAAGACACGGAAATCTGCTTGGGGCTGAAACCTGCGGCCTGGCAGACGAGCTGGGACTTGCGCTGGCCATTGCCAGAGAAGGCATCGCGGGGCGGGATGAAGACGGTCACGTTGGGAGACATCGGTACAGGCCCTGGAATGAGGGGACAGTGCGTCAGCCTGGCTGGCCCACCCTACCCATCCGGCCACGGGGAGGAGGGCCCTGCTCTCACCTGTGATGGGCACGTTCACAGATTTGTCACCATTGGAGTGCTTGACGTTGCATGTGATGTACTCGTCTGAGCCCTGGATGATGTCCACGGAGGGCAGGAACACCTGAGAGGTCGCCACATACTTGCCCTCTCTCAGAACCGAAGGGAAGGTCTTAATGTCCTGGTTGTTGATTGCACTGAGGTTCTCGTACTTCCAGGAGAAGGTGATGGAGCCAGGCAGGAAGTCCCGGGCCAGGCAGCCCATGGCCACCAGGGTCTCATCGGACAGGGAGTTCTCACAGGTGATGAGGGGGAAGAGGTTTGGAGGGGATGGACTCTCTGAGGACCAGAGAGGGACAAGAGATGGGTGAGAAGCTGTGTTCTTTTCACACTCTGCCAGGCGGGCTGTGGCCAGCCCTGCAGCTCCCTCACATCACTGCCACAAAGGCTGGCCTCGCAGCGTCCCCAGCCCGGGGAGGAGCCCAGCAGTGCGGTGGATGGCAGTGCTGACGTCGAGTCCTGCCGGGAAGAGGAGGCGCAGCTGCCCCCACCCTGCCGCAGAAGCCCAGCTCTGGACTTGTGGGATGGCTTGGCCTTGGCCAGTGTGGCCTTCCCCCTGAGACACAGGAGCCAGGCTGCCACACTCAGCCCCAAGCCTGAGAGCCATCTGTGAGGCAGATTGATGGCATAGAGAGGAGCGCCCCAACGAGCCGACCAGCCCTGGCTGGTGTGTCTAGGGTCAGCGAACGGTGTGCATATGAGGAGTCGGGTGATGCAGACTCCCCTTGGCCCATCCTTAGCACAACCAGGTTATTGAGGTCACATCAAGGTTAGTCAGGACAGTCCGGCAAGGCCAGCTCACCCCCCGACTAGAACTAAATGCCCCAATGCAGATGAATCTAGCCCAAACTAGGACTTCAAACTCCTGGGTCAAAGCAACCCAGTCAGTCCATTTCTGCTAGACTAGCTCAGCGACCATGGCTAACCAGCTCAGTGCACCCAGCCTAGTCCAGCTCAGCCCAGTTCATTCAGCCCAATTCAGCCCAGCTCTGCCCAGCTAGGACAGTTCAGCCCAGCTCACCTCAATTCAACTCAGGCCACTTCAACTCAGTTCAGCCCAGCCCAGCCCAGCCCAGCTCAGCCAAGCTCAGCTCACCCAGCTAGGCCAGCCTGATTCAGTGCAGCTCAGCCCGGCTCAGCCCAGCTCAGCCCAGCCCAGCCCAGCTCAGCTCACCCAGCTCACTCCTGCTCAGCTCAGCCCAGCTCAGCTCACCTGGCTAGGCCAGCTTGATTCAGTGCAGCTCAGCCCGGTTCAGCCCAGCTCAGCCCAGCCCGGGTCAGCTCAGCTCAGCACATTTCATCTCACCCAGCCCAGCGCAGCTCAGCCCAGCTCACTCAGCTCAGACCAGCTCAGCTTAGCCCAGCTCAGCTCAGCTCAGCCTGGTTCAGCTCAGTCCAGCTCAGCTCGGCCCAGCTCAGCACAGCTCAGCCAAGCTTAACCAAGCTCAGCCTGGTTTAGCTCACCCAGCTCAGCTCGATTCAGCTCACCCAGCTCAGACCAGCTCAGCTCAGCCCAGTCCAGCCCAGCTCAGCTCAGCCCAACTCAGCTCAGCCCAACTCAGCTCAGCCCGGCTCTCAGCTCAGCCTGGCTCAGCTCAACCAGCTCGGCCCAGCTCAGCTCAGCCCAGATCACCCAGCTCAGCCCGGTTTAGCTCACCCAGATCAGCCCCGCTCAGCTCAGCCCAGATCAGCTCAGCCCAGATCAGCTCAGCCCAGATCAGCTTACCAGCTCAGTGCAGCCCAGTTCAGCCCAGCCTGGTTCAGCTCAGCTCAGCCTGATTCAGCTCACCCAGTTCAGCCCAGCTCAGCACAGCTCAGCCAAGCTCGTCCCAGTTTAGCTCACCCAGCTCAGCCCCACTCAGCCCCACTCAGCCCTGCTCAGCCCCGCTCAGTCCCGCTCAGCTCAGCCCAGCTCAGCTCAGCTCAGCCCAGCTCACCCAGCTCACCCAGCTCAGCCCTGCTCAGCCCAGCTCAGCTCAGATCAGCCAGCTCAGTCCAGTTCGGCCCAGCTCAGCTCAGCTCAGCGCAGCTCAGGGCAGCTAAGGGCAGCTCAGGGCAGCTCAGCCTGGTTTAGCTCACCCAGCTCAGCCCAGCTCAGCCCAGCTCGGCCCAGCTCAGCCCAGCTCAGCCCAGCTCGGCTCAGCTCAGCCCAGCTCAGCCTGGTTTAGCTCACCCAGATCAGCCCGCTCAGCTCAGCCCAGCTCAGCCCAGCCCAGCTTACCCAGCTCAGCTCAGCCCAGATCAGCTCAGCCCAGATCAGCTTACCAGCTCAGTGCAGCCCAGTTCAGCCCAGCCTGGTTCAGCTCAGCTCAGCCTGATTCAGCTCACCCAGTTCAGCCCAGCTCAGCACAGCTCAGCCAAGCTCGTCCCAGTTTAGCTCACCCAGCTCAGCCCGCTCAGCCCCGCTCAGCCCCGCTCAGCTCAGCTCAGCCCAGCTCACCCAGCTCAGCTCAGATCAGCCAGCTCAGTCCAGTTCGGCCCAGCTCAGCGCAGCTCAGCGCAGCTCAGGGCAGCTCAGGGCAGCTCAGGGCAGCTCAGCGCAGCTCAGGGCAACTAAGGGCAGCTCAGGGCAGCTCAGGGCAGCTCAGCCCGTTTTAGCTCACCCAGCTCAGCCCAGCTCAGCCCAGCTCGGCCCAGCTCAGCCCAGCTCAGATCAGCTCAGCCCAGCTCAGCCCAGCTCAGCCCAGCTCACCCAGCTCACCCAGCTCACCCAGCTCAGCCCGGCTCAGCTCAGCCCAGCTCAGCCTGGTTCAGCTCAGCTCACCTCAGCTCAGCCCAGCTCGCCCAGCTCAGCCCAGCTCAGCCGGGTTTAGCTCACCCAGCTCAGCCTTGCTCAGCTCAACCCTGCCCAACTCACCCAGCTCAGCCCAGCTCAGCCCGGTTCAGCCAGGTTTAGCTCACCCAGCTCAGCCCAGCTCAGCTCAGCCCAGCCCAGCTCACCCAGCTCAGCCCAGATCAGCTTACCAGCTCAGTGAAGCCCAGTTCAGTCCAGCCAGCCCGGCTCGGCTTAGCCCAGCTCAGCCTGGTTCAGCTCAGCTCACCTCAGCTCAGCCCAGCTCAGCACAGCTCAGCCCAGTTCAGCTCACCCAGCTCAGCCTGGCTCAGCCCAGCTCAGCCCGGTTCAGCTCAGCTCAGCCCAGCTCAGCCTAGCCCAGCTCCACTCACCAGCTCAGTGCAGCCCAGTTCAGCCCAGCCAGCCTCTGGCTCAGCTCGGTTCAGCTCACCCAGCTCAGCTCACCTCAGCTCAGCACAGCTCAGCCCAGTTTAGCTCACCCAGCTCAGCCCGGTTCAGCTCAGCACAGCCCAGCTCACCCAGCTCAGCCCAGCTCAGCTCAGCTCAGCCTGGCTCAGCTCACCCAGCTCAGCCCAGCTCAGCTCACCCAGCTCAGCCCAGCTCAGCCCAGCCCAGCTCAGCCCAGCCCAGCTCACCCAGCTCAGCCCAGATCAGCTCACCAGCTCAGTGCAGCCCAGTGCAGCCCAGTGCAGCCAGCCAGCCCGGTTCAGCTCAGCTCAGCCCAGCTCACCCAGCTCAGCCTGGCTCAGCCCAGTTCAGCTCAGCCCAGCTCAGCCTGGTTCAGCTCAGCTCAGCCCAGCTCAGCCTAGCCCAGCTCCACTCACCAGCTCAGTGCAGCCCAGTTCAGCCCAGCCAGCCTCTGGCTCAGCTCGGTTCAGCTCACCCAGCTCAGCTCACCTCAGCTCAGCCCAGCTCAGCCCAGCTCACCCAGCTCAGCCCGGTTCAGCTCAGCACAGCTCCGCTCACCAGCTCAGTGCAGCCCGGTTCAGCCCGTCCAGCCTGGCTCAGACCAGCTCAGCCCGGTTCAGCTCACCTCAGTTCAGCTCACCCAGCTCAGCCCAGCTCAGCTCACCTCAGCCCAGTCCAGCCCAGCTCAGCCCGGTTCAGCTCAGCCCAGCTCACCCAACCCACCTAGTTCAGCTCACCCAGCTCAACCCAGCTCAGCTCAGCCCGGCTCACCAGCTCAGTGCAGCCCAGTTCAGCCCAGCCAGCCTGGCTCAGCTCAGCTCAGCCCGGTTCAGCTCAGAAGTTCCAGTTCAATGTGGTTTAGTTCAGCTGCGCTGAGAACTGCTCTGGGCAGCCCAGTCGTCCTGTCCAGCGCAGCCCTGAAAGCTGGGTCCTGGACTCGCTAGAAAGTTTCAGGCCAGCAGACCTGCTTGCCTTTTGAGCTAAAGCTGTCTTACCCTGGAAAGCTGTAGACCGCAGCCAGGCTCGGGGTCAGTCCCTCCTGTGCCTACCCCTGCCCTTTTTGTCCTTGTGGATTTCTGCACTTGGGTCCCCTTTGTGTCCAGGCCCTGCCCCGGCCTCAGCCTGCCGGTGGTGCCCAAGCATTATCAATCAATCACTCCCATCTCAGTATCCCGGGGAAAATGCTTCCTGACAAGTCTGAATCCATTAAGAAATTTTACAAGGATTGGGGAATGTTTCCTGTCACCGGGAAAAGCTCATCTTTGCTTTAGAATAGGCAGTGCTGCTTCTGGGCTAAGTGTGCTTGGATCCTCCCCTCGGGACTTGGCCCTTGGCCGAACTCCTGCTCTCTGAGTCTAAGGTAGGACCCCTGACTTAGGTAGATTTCCTCTAAATAAAAATCATCATTAAATATGACCAAAAACGCATCTTATCTGAACTTGCACTTCTAAGTCTGCTCTGTATCGGAAAGCTCTCCACCAGGCGGTGGGCTACTTTCAAATGCGCAGTAATGACCTCACATCCAAAGCCACGTTCACAACAGACAGTGCCTAAGTGGCCCTCTAAGTTAGGATCCTAGGATCCGTAGGTAAGTAGCCCCGGGGCACCACTTTGCACCGTTTCCTAGACACGATCTTTAGAGAAAGTTGAATGTGAGGGACCAAGGCAATGGTCACTCAGGGATTCATACAAATAAATATTGTCTCACTGAGCAGTCATTAAAGAGTGATTCCTCATCAACAGAAAACCCAAACAGCAAATAGCAACTTCCCAGAGGAGTAGATTTGGCAGCCGGGGCTGCCTCTCTTACCAGTTCGGCTCCCTGGTCACCGTGCGGGCTTTGAAGACTTCCTCCAAGTCCATTAAAATCGGTTGGTCGACGGGTAGCCGGTGGGCCTAGTGGCAGAAGCCACGCTGGCCTGCCCCCAGCCGCGGCGGGCCTGGGGGACCCCAGCCACGGCGGGCCTGGGGGGCTCCTGCGGCCTGAGAGCCAGCACAGCTCCCTTCTGACTCGAGACCTGACTAGGCTTCCTCTCCCTCCGACAAGAAACGCGCTTTGCTGAGATCACTTGGGACAATCAGGCACATTTCACCTAAGATTTGTCCCAGCAGGAAGGCTTGCAAAGCTGAGCCCAAGGCCGCTTTATCAGCCTATCCAAGTGCCTCTTAATCACAAACAGAAAATCTAGCTTAAAAATCCGCGAACACGGTGATTGTGGAAACGGTGCTTCTGGGCTCTAGAGAATGGGCTCGGGTTACCGACCGCCAGCAGGAAAAACCAATTAAAACCTGTTACAGACTTGATGGGATGAGCGCTGGGTGATATGCTATATGTTGGCAAATTGAACTCCAATAAAAAAAAAATTCTAAAAAATAATAAAAAATAAATAAATAAACGAAAAACCCCGTTACACAAACATGTTGGATCAACTGCCCTGAAGACAGTTTAATTTCTTAGACGTCTTTCTTTGGAAATGGGCATAATGAGCTAAGACTGAAAAATTAGATTCAAGTAGTTAAAAAAAAGGAAAGCTTCCCAGCTTCTGCCAGCGTCGGTCGCGGTCTTATTTTAGAAATGCAAATTGCGCAGGTGTTGTTTTGCGCTGTGGCCGCGTTCAGCTTCGCTGGGCTGGGCAAAACAACCCGAAAACCACGGCTGCATAACCACAAACTATAAATTTGCCAAGTGTGTTTTCTTGCTTCCTAAAATAGACAGTCCATGTGACCTGCTTCCTGCCACCTGCAGGTGCCTGGCCCCACACCGCGGCTCAGCAAAACCCAGCACCACCGCTTCCAGAATCTCCAAATTAATCTTAAAAAATTAATAAACTTAATTTATGGTGGTCAAAACTCAAGTCTCACAGCAGGACAGGACAGCACCGGGTCACTATTTCTTGTATCAACTCCAGAAACATAAGATTCAACTGGTACAATTAAAAAGTCTCATAGACTTGAAAATCTCTCACATTTTAAATTCACAGATTTCTTATATTTTTTTCCCCCTCAGGAGCCACTTCAAAGATGTCCTGTCCTTCACTAGTTAGTAGGCGTAGCACTTAGGAGGGGCAGACCCCTTGGTCTTAGACTCTGCCCGGGGGGAGCCGAGCCCCGCAGCCCCCCAGTCCCACCCTGGGGCCCGCACCAGGCGGACCAAGCATCCCTCCTCACCCCGACGAGTCTCATAGACACAGCCTAGCACAAAACATCGCCCGTGATTCTGCGGGAAGTCTCTCACCGCGCGCTCTACAAGTGGCATTCTCGTGGCTCTGCACACACACGAGCCCTGCACACTCCTTAGCCCAAACCAACAGCCCCACAGTCCTGCGGCCACGGGGGTCCAGCCCCCAGCCCCTCTCAAGGGTCAGCGATTCCCCTGGGCGTGCCGGCATTACTCCGGTTTCAGAAAGGCATCAGGCAATCAAGAGGCTCTGACTTCCCTCAGCCCCCCGGTCCTCGTCCCCTCCCAGCCAGCCCGACCCTGGGGGTCACGTCCTGAGGACCCGCCATCAATGCTCAGAAAACCCCAGAGAAAGGAGCAGAAAATAAAGGCCCCAGGAGGGCCGCTCTTACCTGAGGACACGAAGACTGAGGTGCCATGGCCCCAGTAGTCCATACCATAGTAATCACAGTGGTGAAATCACCACCCACACCCGACCGAAACCCTAGGGGCTCGGGCCGGCATTGCCCCGACTCCGAGGCTTGCACTATGTCCGGCCCGTGGAAGCTCATCCTCTGAGTCACGGTCACCTGGAGGCTCTTAGACCCTCCACTGCCCCTGAGACCCTACATCCCGGCCACTGCCTGCCTGGGCCGCCCATCTGCCGGCCAACAGCCCCCAACCACTGGGGACACAGAGTCCAATCTACCCCAAGGGCCGCCACCCCAGAGAGCGGGTGTGTCAAAGCCACAGATCCCTATTCCACTGACTATGCCGCAGCCACGGCGGCCCCCAGGAAGGCTCGGATTAGGTGGCCAGAGCAGGCAAAGAAGCCGCCCCGTCCCTCTCTGCGGCCGTCCTCGGGGCAGTGGAAGGGCCATCTCCGGCCCTCCGTCTCTGCCTCCACTTCCTGAGCCCCAGAACGCCCAACACCGCGACCCCCCCGATTGCAGCCCGACTAGGGAGGGTGCGGACCCACCTGAGGAGACGGTGACCAGGGTCCCTTGGCCCCAGTAGTAGAACCAGTTGTCACAGTATGACAACCATGCTGGGACCCCAGACAAGAAGTGGGACCCAGAAAGGCCTTGGACCTCAAATCACAGCCGTTGGGGCTGAGAGAACCAGGCGGCCCCAGGAGGAGCCAAGGCTGCCGGAGGGCCAGGTGGCAAGGGACCGCTGACCCATTGGCTCCTTCCCGAGTCCCTCTGGACCCCAGACCCAGACACCCTAATTTTCCCCCAAATGCAGCAAAAAGCCCCGGAGAGAAAGAGGAGAGAAGGGTTGTGAGGACTCACCTGAGGAGACGGTGACCAGGGTTCCCTGGCCCCAGTACTCAAAGTTGTCACATTGCCAAGGGCCCCATTAGGCGGTGTACAAAAACCTCACTCCCACCCGCTGCCCGGCCGCCCGGCCGCCACAGACGCCCCAAGTCCTCCGGTCTGCACTCCCCAGACACAGCCCGTTGTGCCGGCCTGACTGCGGCAGGCAAACCCCCATGGCCCCCAGGAAGGCCGTCCACAGAGCGAGGACCTCACAGCCTCCAAAGCAGCTCCTGGGCTCCCCACAGGGTCCCTCAGAGACCCAGGAGTCTCTGGAAATTGCTTCCCTGCGCCAGGACAGAGGGGCGAACAGAAAACTGTCTTACCTGAGGAGACGGTGACCAGGGTCCCCTGGCCCCAGTAACCAAAAGCATTGCACAGGGACACAGTCCCTGCTTCTCCCCTGACATAAACCCTCCCCGGCCCCCTTCACGGGCCGTGTCTCGATGCTGGAGGGTGCCGCACGTGGCTGGCTTCCCTGCCGCCGGCCACACGACCCCACGGGAAGACAGACACAGGTAGGGGTGCATTTACCTGAGGAGACGGTGACCAGGGTGCCCTGGCCCCAGAGGTCTGAGTAATCATGTTCACACTGATGCACCTGCCTAGTCCCCAGCACACAAAAAGCCGGGCCCTGGTACAACTTCTCCTTCCCAGCCGTCAGCTGTCCCCAGGCTCTCTTGCCTGGCTCTTGGCTTGCTTACCCCTCAGGGCCCAAGGGGGCTGCACCGCAGTCCTGCGGGGCCCCAGGCTGGATCTCAGGCTAACGGACAGCAGGGCTCTGGGGCTCCAGCACTCTGGCCGTGGTGGAGCTGCGAGCAGCTCCGGGGACCTGGGCCGGGGCCCACAGAGCAGCTGCAGGGGAGACTCACCTGAGAGATGGTGGCCAGGGTGCCCGGGCCCCAGATGTCAAAGTAAGTGTCACCCAGTGAGCTGTCCCTGAGCTGCAGCCTGCAGCAGACCCCACAGCCAGGGTCCCCAGGGAGATGCAGGAGCCGGAAAGTCTTTCCTCTGCTCGAATAAACGTCCCGCCCCGTGCCCTGCGTGATCCCTCCTGCCTCAGGCCCCTGGGCTGCCATGTGGGTGTCCTTCCTGACAGCTGACCGGCTGTGCTCCTGAGGGCACATTCTCCATACCCGGCCCTCACCACCAGGGCCCCATCCGGCCCTCTGGCCATGTCACGTCCACTTGCCACGTCCCTTCTGAGCAGGCTAAGCACCCTCTCAGCCTCCTGGGGCTGCCCGCCGACCCATGCTGGGTCTGCAGTGAGCCTGCCCCATGAGCCCCGGGCACCCTCGGACCGCTGGCCCACCGGGTTTTTGTAGAGCTGTCAATCACTGTGGCCCCAGTTAGCACTGTGGTTCCTGCCTGGGCCAAAACCCCCAGGGCCAGAGGGGGTGCTGGGTGGGGCCTCAGAGCTGGCATGGGAGACGGGGCCGCATCCTCCCAGCCATTCCCACATTAGCTGCAAACTGGTGGCCACTACGAACAACGATCCCAGCATCGAAGGCTCTCCTGCATCAGTTTTCCTTTGCTCTTCCTGAAATAAGAGACGGTCCAAGGCTGCGCCCGTGGGCCACCTGCATTCGGGCCACGTGGGCCTTGGGTGGTGGCACAGGTGGAGGGGCAGGCAGCACCAGTGCTTGCTGGGCCCCTGGCCCCCGCCCAGGCCCCTGGGTCCCCGGGGGGTGGACAACCGCCAGCCCGCCCCAGGGGCCTGCCAGAGTCTCGGCCTGCAAGGCTGCTTTCCCCCTGGCCACGTCTGTGCACACAGAGCAGCACATCAGTGTCCTCGTGAACAGGCCCCTGGGGGCCAAGGCAGTGCCCACTGTGGCCGCCGCGTGCCTGTCTGCCCCAACTGCTGGTCATGGAGAAGGCTCTCAGCTCTGCGTGCCCCTGGCTGTGGGGTGGGTGCAGGGGGAGGGGCATGAGGGTCCAGGGCCCAGGGCCGCCCCACCCCCACCCCACACAGGCTGCTGTCCCCAGACACCACCCATCAGGCGGGGGGCTGGGCGCCAGGACCCACAGGCTCCCCGGGCCCATGCGGGTGAGGCAGGTGTGCTCATGTGTGGGCCAGGGACTGGGAGGGGGCGATGACAGGCTTGCTGCAGAGGGGTCAGTGAAGAGTAAGTCGCCAAAACCCCAGGTTGGCCGTGCACCTGCGGAGGAGTGCACGTGGCTCCATGTAGTTGAGTGGCCTGTGTGCCCCTCGAAGAGGCTGATGGGTGTGTGGGCCCTGTTTAGAGTCTCTTTCTGGAAAGTTCTGTCCAGTACGGTGTGAAGGATGGATCCAGGAGGCCTGGAGGCAGCAGGAGAGGGAAGCCTGGATGCTGGGAGATTGTTAGGGAGCTCCTGGGGTGGCAGGTAGGTCACAGGGTCTCCTGTGGGAGGTGGTGGGATGAGGGTGGGGGGAGCAGGGAGGGCAGGGCAGTGCGCCCTGCAGGGCTGTGCGCCCAGGATTCAGGGCTGAGGCTGGGGCTCTAGGCTTCTGGCCTGGTCTTGGGAAAATGAGGAGAAGCAGACCCAGCGAGGGGTGTAGCTGGCGATGTCACCTCGGGGAGGCTGACGACAGGTGTGTGGGGGGACCTGCTGCCATGCTGGGGTGCAGAGCCTCTCTGGACATGGCTGGACACCAGCACATGGACAGTGTCCAGTCTGGGGTGATGACGGCCCAGCCAGGGGAGCACCGTAGGGAGGCCCTGTGTAGGGGCAGAGCAGCCTAAGGGCCCCGAGGCACCTGTGAAGGAAGCCAGTGGGGGAGGGGAGGCAGGGATGAAGCAGGGACAGTGGAGAAAGAGCAGTGGTCTGTCATGGGAGGGGGTGGCTGCAGCCTCCATGAGAACGGCTGGCCCTGGGGACCCGGGCTGGGGGGCAGGGCAGGTTGAGTGCTGGGTCGTGGCCTCTGGTCCCTTCCCAACCCCATGCGTGGGCCTCCTGGGGGTAGCTCCTGGCTCACAGGCAGGGCTTGTTGAGCCCCAGCCCCTTTCTGGGATCACAGTGCTAAGGTCTCAGCCTTGGGACCTCTTCTCTCCTTTTAGGGAACAAGGGTAAGCTCTACTCTGGCCCTTCAGGAAGCACCTGCTCTGGCTTTCTAGAACCTTCAGCCCCTGGCTGGGGGAAGGGCAGGTGGCCTCTGTGCCCTGCAGGCCCATCTCTGCCAGCTCCCAGCTCCCAGCCCTAGGCCCTAGCCCTGCCTCTCCACCATGGCAGAGACAGAAAACCAGGCAGGCTGCAGGTGCCGTCTGGCCTACAGAGGACCCATCACAGCTCTGGGGGACCTGCGCGTCCTGTCAGGCCCTTGGGGAGGATAGCACCTAACCTTGGCATAGCTCTCGAGCCTTCCACAGAGAACTGCACACTGTGTGCAGTTTGGATCGGGGCAGCTGAGCTGGGTCCGTGTGGCTGGCCGCGCTCATGCTCAGTGCTGGGAGCCTGGCCCTATCGTCCAGGGAGAGGACATGGGCGTTTCAGGTGTGCACCTTGGCGAGGGCTGGCTGTGGTGTCTGGACCAGCATAATGGGGTGGCCAGGATTGGGCTAACTGGTGGGTCTTCCAGCCTCTGCTCACAGCTGCAGGCTCCTGGCTCCCCTACGCCTTCCAGAACAGTGACTGGGAAGGTGTCTCCTGGCTGACTCAGCTGCCCTGAGCAAGATTCAGAGTTGAGTCAGAGGCCGAACCCCGAGGCAGGTGGGGAGACCACCCTGTTCAGTCAGGACATGTCCACGCAATTGCTTCTGAAAAAGGCGGTGAGCTAGGAGCGGCTGGCCTGGGGCCTGTGGTGCTGCCATGCCTCGGTGAGCTAATCTTGCTGCAGGGTCTTGTTCCCCCCCGGAATCGAGCACAGTGGTAGACCAGATGGCCAGAATGCAGGTGTGCTCTGAGCACCGACCGCTGGTCCTCACACTCACAGGGAGAAGCTTTGTCTCTGAGACTTGACCTTTGGTGGCCTCTGCCAGCAGGGAGCTGCTTCCTGAGCCCGAGCTCCAGGAGGAAGGTCCATACAGGCGAGAACACAAGAAGAAAGTCCTCTTGCTACATTTCTCAGGCCAGAAGCTGCAAAGAGCAAATGGCTGCTGTTGCCAACAAACCGAAGGTTGTGAAAAGCCACCAAAGGGAACAGAGAGGAGTAAGAAACAGAATTTCCC